TGCTGTAATATGAGTTATCCAGTGACTTATTAGTAACAAACTCCCACTTGCTCATGTTAACTCACAGCATTAATCTAGAGAATAGCACTAACTGCAACATCTATATGTTTGCTGAAAACTACTGGTTCTATTTTGCGGAACAAAAGAATACTAATATTCATAGTAATAACACCCTCCAAATGACCATACAACACTCATCAAAGCCATTGAAAAAACTAGAGTATGCCGAGCTATTTAGCTGGCTTTATCTATGCAGGGCTGCCAAGCAAGAGCTTATCTTCACTGCGTTCTACATTGCAGATGTTTGATCCTTGAGACCAGTTCAGATATTCTTCATCAAACATACATACAACAGCTGAACCGAGCTACTACAAACAATTGACTGCTAGGGTGCACTATGGTTATTCTCCCCCTAAGCAGCACGACTATCCAATCCAGATAATGAACAAGCAGACACAGCAGAGCAGAGGAACAAGTGGACAACTTACAGCAAAGCTGCCTCCTTTCTTTCTTTCTTTGTTTGCTGATGGTAGAAAAATTTGTTGGACCTTTCTTCTTCCTCCTCCTCGTGTTTCAGTTTCAAGGCCCATCAGGGGTTTTGTGGAGTTAGGAGCTGCATATGCTTTGCAAATGAGTTCGCAAGACTTGTTCTGTTTTAAAAGAACGAATTTGATTTGTCAAGGATAATGTTGTTCACAACTCAATAAATTTCATGAATTGGCTGGTAAAGATACATTTTAACAGAAAGATAAATGAAAACATACTTAAGCCAATGTACGTGTGCAGACACAATAAATACATTGTAGTACAAATTTTGAATCACTAAGAAATAGTTCCAGCTGAGACCAAGCTGTTGGCAACAATGTTTTATCCAGTATCCTTTGTACTGCATAATTGGAGTTCAGATACAAATTATCGGCATCTCTGTAACTTCTTGATCTGAAAATTTTCCATTGAACTGCACATGCATATTGCCAGGAACTTTCGCATGAAATGGGATATATCTGTCTGTCTGTCGCGCGCGCACTACCGAGCAAAGCAGCATGATAAGGAAGATGTATAACATTTACATATCTGAGCTAGATGAGCCGACGGCACTGACGCAGCCGGCGGTTAGGATTATTTACGTACTCCGTTGCCCAACCCTATCGTGAATTCAATCGGTGACGCGACTACGCGAGGGGTGGCGGGATTAATTAGACAAGAATTGACGTGCGCCCCCACATCCCTGCTGCCCACCATCAGCTTCTGATCCCTTGCGCCTTTTCCCAGATGCCACTGTTGGTGCTGTGGTGGTTCTCAGAGCGCGAGCGTGTAGTGACCCTTGGCCGCCGGAATGTCGCCGGCGACGTGAGAGATTCACAACAAGAATCGAGAGAGGAGGTAGCTAGGAAAGGGGCTTCCTGTTCTCAGTTTCAGATTCACAATTCAGATGGTCTCCATCCAGAATACATGGCGTGACCAGATAGTCAGAGGCCTCACGCAAACAGCTGGCCAACAGGGCCCACAAGTCATAGATAAAAATGAAAACGTCTTAACGGATGACGCCTCTACTCAATGGATACGGGTACGACAGAGCGACACGACAGCCACCGGGAGAGACGAGAAAAGATCTTGAGCCGAGCCGTGCCGTGCGGGTGCGGGTGGTGCGGGTGCGGCAAAGGCAAGGGACAAAGAGAGCTTCTTGAGCTCGGCCTGGATCTGGGGCGGCGGGGGCGCTGGAATCCGGCGTGTGGCGGTGGGGAGGGCGGAAGGAGGGGGTGCGACCGTGCGGGAGCGGAGGAGTAGGGGCGGGGCGGGGCGAGGCGAGGAGGAGGAGGCGGTGGCCGCGGCTGCCGAGGCGGAGCGCGGCAGCGGCAGGGGGAGCGGCGGTTGTGGCCGGTGGAGGCGTGCCGGCGGCAGGGACCCGCGAGGGCGAGGGCGAGGCCTACAACCAGCCCAACAAATCCACAGCAACAACCGATCCATTAAAACCGTATCGGGCCAAACCGTTAGCAGGCTGACTTGAGACCCTCCCTAGGGTTTCACCCTTTGCCCCTCGCTGGCGGCGGCAGAGCGCTGTACTCCGCAATTGCCCTCCCTCGGTTCGGCACCGCCTCACCGTCTTTTCTTCCCTCGACGCCGGAACTCGGGTGGTTGCGCCGCCAGCGACCGTCCATCGGCCTTGTTCCGCGCCGCCAACTTCGGGTGATGGCAAGGTGACCTCTAAAGCTCCTTTCCTTTCCCAATTGTAATTTTATCTTCCCTGTAATCTGTGTAAGATTAGCCATTGGCTTGACCTATAGGTATGTTTGTCACTTGGGAAATATTGTTGATGGGCTACATTCGACCTGCCTAGTACTAGTATCACTTGGAGCCATTCTTGATTACTGATTAGGAATTTGCAGTCGCTCCTAAGAAAGCCCCCTTTTTACTGACTTGTCCCGGTCCAAGAATGCAACTGGAATTTGCAGACAATATTCGAGAGGACTAAATGACACACCCCTACTCTGAGTCATTCATCCCTGTCTTGGGATCCCCTTGTCTATATGCTGAACTATAGACAGCAAGCAAGTAACAGAAAATAAACATAAGTTGATATGTGATTGCCATGTGCGATGTCCCATGTTAGTGAGGCTTCTTTGTGGTTGCAAATGATATACCAGCTTGTTGCTTACTATTTCGTTGTGATACATTGCTAGTTGTACTGATAAATACATTGCTAAGGTCTGGGGGCACTGTTTATTGCTAACTATATGGCTGACCGTTTCTTTGCTGCACACTGTACTTTTGCTCGAAATGTACCAGAGCAAAATCCACATCTGCTAGAAATCACCGCTTTTGCTTGACATTGAGTTGATAATCTGTTTTTTTCTTGTGTTGTTTCTGCCTTGGCTTTTGAGTTAGTGTATCTTTAGTAGCTATTCTGCTTATCTATTAGTTCTTTCAAGGTATAGATCCGGTTGGATTATTGGTGTTTAGTTGGCCTTTTAATCTGCTGCAAATTTATACATTGCCATGATGATGCTACGTTTTGTAGATAAATAGTTATTCTGAACTTGCTTTCATCGTTGCCCACTTACCTTTGGGTTCCTATTGTGCATCGGTATCGTTTGTACCGCCAGTTCAAATCACTTTATTTTTCTTATATATGATAGGGTTTTTTGGATTGACAACATTACAATTTTCGGTTATTGGAGATATACCATTACAATTCGACTAATTCAAATCATACCATTACAATTGTGCGATACTCGGACCAACGCCATGGGATACGCTCAGCGACGTCTTGGGGCCACCTGCAGGTGTGTACACTACCTCACTATTTCCGTATGGACGTCCATGCCCTCGGGTCAATTGGATAAGGTGCCTCCGTATCCCACCCAGGCTGACTGCTCTCTTCCTCCTCACGCTCTGTCTCCTCTCACTCACCCTCACCCCGACGACGGTGGCGAGCAGGACGGCGGCGACCCTGTCTTCGGTGGCATAGACTCCGACGACCAGAAGCACCCAGCTTGCGTGCGTGCTGCGATGCACCCTATTGCGCGCAATGGGTGAGACGCAGCCGCGCGGCATGGCGGAGATGGCGGACGACGAGGGCGGGTATTTATCCTCTGCCTCTTTTTCTTCCCTCTATAGTGAATGAGCTCGTCCTCGGTAGATTTCGTTGAGGCTATTGATAGGGATTCATTGGATTTGGGGTTGATTTTGTTTGTTGCTAGGGCTTCGTTGTTCTCGCTAGTGATGAAAGTAGAAGGATTTTGTACCAAAAACAGCACTGGTAGAAAAGCATACACAAAGGGACGCTTGATTAAGTGGGATGTTGAAGTAGCTTCATTTTCCTTCGATTTGCTGTTGACAAGCCTGTGCAATGAGTTCCAGTGGTCCAGTAGCCAGTCTCCTAGTGTGTGGTTCTTTGACAAAAGGCTATGTGAAGATGTGAGAATAGAAAATGATTTTCAGATGCATGACTTGTTTGAAATGTATAAGGATCAGATGCGCTGTGAAGTTCTTGTGTTTGACAGTTGTCTTAGACAGTCTGATGAGTTTACAAACCTAGACCCAATATGTGTGATTCCACCTGAGTTTTCTATTCACGGCAACCCCAGTAGCAAAGACATTCCACCAGCCCAGCCTTTTGATAATGATGAGTATCCATTAGAGCCTGAGCCTGACAGGGAACCTGACATGTTTGACAATAATGAGGAGTATGTCGGTGTTGACGACGAAGGACTGTACATGCCTGTGCAGGCAGCTAACAATGCAGAACCTTGTAACAACCATGCTCATACTGCTGATGATGATGACTATGTTCATGTTGCTGATCAGTTTGATGATGTTGGTGCTGCTGAAGGAGGTGTTCCTCTTGAGGCAGAGGTAAATGATGCAGATCCAGAGGAGGTTCAAGTTATCTATGATCTTGAAAACCCCAAGATAGAGAAGGGAGAAAGATTTCCTAACATTGTTGCATTTAGGAAGGTAGTGAGACATCATACAGTGGTGAAAGGGTTTGAATTTGGTAAAATCATTACAGATAAGACTAGGTTTATTACTACGTGTAAAGCTGAAGGGTGTCCTTGGCGTATACATGCTTCAAGGATCTTTGATGGCAAGACAATAGAGGTGAATTATAGTTATGACATCTCTTTCATTTTGTTACCAGTTTTCCACCTTATAATTTAACAATTTTCTGTCTGTGTGTGCAGATCAAAACACTATGTGCAGAACATAAATGTGCTACTACTAAACTCCAAGAAACCAAAATGGCAACCCAAGGCTGAGCTGCAGAAAGGTTAGGGGATTGGTTGAAGAGGCATCCTACTAAGACTCCAACAGATTGCAAGGACAAATTAGAGGGTGACTATGGTATCAAGCTCAAGTACTCCAAAGCATGGTCTGGCATGAAGGTAGCACTAGAGCAGATCCATGGAAAGTATGAGGAGAGTTTTCAGCTTCTGTTCAATTGGGCAGCTCAGATTGCCAAATCATCACCTGACAGTCATGTGCAGATAGAGGTAGAGATGGTTGAGGGCAAGCAGAGATTTAGGAGGATTTTTGTAGCTCTTAAGCCATGTATTGATGGCTTTCTAGAGGGATGCAGACCATTTATAGGGATTGATGCTTCATGTTTGTATGGCAAGTACAGAGGACAGTTGGCATCTGCAACTGGTATAGATGGGCACAATTGGTTGTATCACATTGCATATGCAATTTTTGACACTGAGAATGAGGACAACTGGACATGGTTCATGCAACAGCTGCACATAGCCATTGGTGATGTTCCAAACCTTGTTATTTGTACAGATGCTTGTAAAGGTTTGGAGAAGGCTGTTGGAGCTGTATTCCCAAATGCTGAAAATAGGGAATGCATGAGACACCTTTACCAGAATTTCATGAAGCACTACACAGGTGATGTTTTCACTGATCACCTATACCCAGCAGCTAGGAGCTACACAAAAGGAATGTTCAAATGGCACATGAAGAAAATATTTGATTTTGCACCTGGAACAATTGAGTATCTTGACACGCACCATAGTAGGTTATGGTACAGGAGTTCTTTTTCTGAAAACAGCAAGTGTGATGCCTTGACTAATAATGTGTCAGAGAGTTTTAATGCACAAGTGAAGAAATTCAAGGGTCTATTGCTGCATGAACTAGTAGACAAGTTGCGGGAGTTGATAATGGAGAAGAGATACTTGAGGAAGAAACTGGCTAGACAGTGGCATGATAGGATTCTCCCTAATGTTATTAAGGAACTTAATCTGATTAGCAATCACCTGACGGTCCTCAAAGTATCTGTAAGTGATGATGACATTGCTGAAGTTACCATTGTGGACCAATGGAACAACCAGAAGCGCGAAACAGTAGACCTACAAAATCACAATTGTTCTTGCAGGGAGTGGCAAGTCACCGGAAAGCCTTGTAGACATGCTTTGGCCTGGATATTGTCCAATAGAGGGATGAAAATAGAAGATTATGTGCATGAGTACTACTCAGTGGCTAAATTCAAGAAAGCTTATGAGGCAAGAGTTGAACCTATACCTGATAGATCCCAGTGGCCTGAAGTTGATCTTGGGTTCAAAGTGCACCAACCATTATTGGGTAGAGGACCAGGGAGGCCAAAGGTGCAAAGGATTAGAGGATGCATGGAGAAAAGGGCTACCAAGAAAAAGGTGAGATGCAAAAGATGTGGAGGACTTGGCCACTTCCAAAAAAGCTGCAAAGAGCCAGAGGTTGGTCAAGATGGTGAAAGAGGTCCATGCAGGAACCATTGCAGAAAGAGGACCATAGAAGATGATGCAGGTACCTCACAACCACAGGTGAACAAAAAGAAGAAAAAGAAGACAACCACAGCCAAGAAAAAAACACCTGTGAAGAAGAAGCTGAAAAGGGCAAAGGCAAACCCACCTCCCACTGCTGTGACTAGTATCACAAAGCTTGTCTTCGATCCATAGTCTACTTGACAAGGCTCAAAATGTTCTCTGATGCTTTTGGCAAAAAAAACTTGTAATGTCATGTAATGCTTTTGGGCACAAAAACTTCTCTGTGCCTCTGATCATTTTGGGCACATGAACTTGTAATGGTAGTCTATGCTGTTAATGGCCTCGAAACACTATGTAGTGAATGCTGATGGCCTGGGTAATACTTCTGTGAACTTATCTAATATATTTCTGTGAACTATGCAACTATGCTTATGGGGTGTCCAGCTTATAGTTTTTATTTGAATTGGTCCAGCTCATCTCTTTGGTACAGAATAATAGCCTTGGATGCTTTCATCCTGCTTTCATCCTTGGATTCGTACGACTCTGTTTTGACCAAGAGATCAAATGGTTGGGATCACTTGAGTGGTTGTTCCCTTATAAATCAAAGGTCCCAAACACCTGGTTGTAACGGAGTCGTACGAATGGGTTGTATGTGAAGCTTTTGAGCTGATTCTAGCTTGCTAGTTCTTGCATTTGAGCTACAATTTGGTTTTGCACATTTGTAGCTGAGTACTTTTGAATCCATAAGAGCAATGTTTGCCTTACTTTGGGATTGGTAGCTCTATGCATTTGTTCTAGATGACTTTACTACATTTCTGCTGCAGCCATGAAATCGAGCATGGAGGTGATGACAAAATTGAAAGAAGCACAAGTGAGGTACAGGAATTGTTGACACCCCTTATGCCCAATGTAGAAGGTGAGTTAAAGCATGTTCACTCTTCAAAATGGTTGAAATTATTCTGTCAGGAAATTCATCTGTACCAACTTTAATCATTAATCATCACTTATATAGATTCTTCTCCTGTAGATTTAGCCTTTAGGTTTGTTAATTATGGGGAATAATAAACTTATTTTGCTTTGAAATATGAAATATGCCCTATATTTTTGGACAGTAATATTTAAAAAAAAATCAAACACTACATTTGTGTACAGACTATACTTATTGAATTTGTCCTAACTGGTTCATTGTAAATACATATGGTGGTTATCAGAATCTTGATGCTCTTGATAACACATTCCATTGTTTCAGTTTTGTTCATTCTTCTTTCCTTTTTCTTTTCTATTTTAGGTAGCTCAAGTGGGAAGAGGGACAAGAATCAGAAGCTTTCCGAATCTTATACAAGTTATTCAGACCATAGTCACAAAGTTCCCGGGTCGATGGGGACGAGGGACGGGGTCGAGGAACGTGGTCGTTTTTGCATAGTCACAAAAATGACCCTGCGTTCCCGGGTAGGGGACGATGTTTCCGGGTTGAGGGACTCTGCCACTGACCCCGTTTCCGGTGACTATGATTCAGACGGTGAGAATCAAGCTGGGCCACTTAAATCTAACATTGTTAAATTATCATGCAAACTGTCAGCCTATGTGGATACATGTATACTCTAAAAAAAAGGGCAGACCCAGTGCCGGAGGCTCCCACATGAGTGGGGTCTGGGGAAGGGAAAAATCGAGGCAAGCCTTCCCCCCGCAAAATCTGCGGAGAGGCTGCTTCGAACCCATGACCTGGTGACTCAGTGAGACAGCTCTCAAGTCTCACCACTGCACTAGGCCTGCCCTTCTTGGATACATGTATACTCTATTTTCCAGAAATACCCAATACATGGATTTGTCTTGGTATTTTTTGAAATGCAAATACTAAGGCACGGATATTAGGAACAAAAAAAATTAGCTTCTGATTAGGCCATTTTTCTATTTTTCCAAAGCTTCCATTTTAATGAGCCAAAACAGCCAAGCATCCCAATTCACCAAAGGCCCCACCTGCCCATCCAAGACTAAATAAGAATGGATACAAGTGTGGCCATTGGGGTAATGTGGTGGCAATCTATGGCTGCTGTTACCCATATAGCTTTGGTTGAGGACTTAAGGGCCATAATAGGCAAAGTTGGTCTCTGGGTGGCTATGGCTAAGGCAATTTGGCTGATGACACCATCCCTCAACAGCTAGAATGTCTGCTTTGGGAATTTTGTTTTGTGTCATTGCTTCAAGCAAAGAACTTGCACTTCTTTTCTGTCTGGGATGACTGGCTGTACTCACTGATGAGTCGCGGCTGGTAGGTGGTCACCCACCAATGAGGGGAAGCGTGCAGTGGTCTGGTCTGGCGGCTGTGTTTCAAGGCATGCGGTGTATGTCTTATTACTTGTTAGGTTTTAGGTTGTGGCTAGGCTGGGCTTTATCCATGAAGTATCCACCAAGCAAGTATTCGGCCATTACTAGTATCCACCAAGTAATACTTGTGTACGTGTCGGATACAGATACATGTCTTGATGTGTCTTTTAGAGTTTCCACCATTACTAGTCATGGTCATTACAGCCAATTATTCCTTTGCTTAGTAGCCCATAATCGATGTTGGGCCGTGACTGCCTAGCACGATGGGAAATAATGCATCCTGAGCATTGACTGCTCTGTGACGAGAAGATGAGATAATCCACCATATCTTAGTCTCCTCTCTCTCTCTTCTCAAGAGAAGTCTGGTCACTATTCTGACTGTTTGGTCTCCCCGACCTGTCACCCCTACGCCATGCAGTTCTTTGATTGGTGGTCTGGAGTGGTAAGTTCTATGGAGGCTGGTTTGAACTCCTTGATATCCTTAGGGACTTGGATAATTTGGAAACATTGAAATGAGTGTCCTCAATGGGGTATTGCCGCACGCAAAGGGTGGTTCATATTGTTATACAGCTGATCCTCAATTGGTATCTCTGCTCACAAAGGGTGGTTCAGATTCCAACTTTGGATCATGGCCGTGCCAAAGTGAGTGTTGGCACAGCTGATCATAGTCGAGGTTTATTTTTTCTTGGAGAAGTCACGGTTTGTTTGTGTTTTGGTGCTGTATGTATTCTTCTTAATGCCATGGTATACAGCTCTCCTGTGTATTGTAGGGGAAAAGAAACCTAGGATCTGGTCATTCATCGCTTCGCCACATTGCTTATTTCATTCTGATGTTTTTTCTTTTTTAAATCATTGGTATGTCAAGTGGGGAGAGTGAAAGTAAGTATGAGCTTTCCGCATCAAGTGTTTCAGAAGGTGAATCAAGCTGGGTGACTTCCTTTTTTTACCGAACATGAGCCACTTAAGTTCTAATGTTATTATCATGCGCGCTGTCATCATGTTGTAAATTATAATGTTGCTTGTTGATCATTACCGGGACATGGTCATTGATTCATTCAGCTTGATGCAGCAGAATCTGTGGATGAGGAACTCTGCAGTTTCCTTGATCCTAATCGCTTGCCAGCCGATGGTTAGTCATTGCTTTCAGAATTTGTAGCTATAGTATCAGTGAACAACCCCCCCCCCCCCAAAAAAATAATAATCATCTCTTTGGCTGTGTGCCAGATTTCACGAAGTTTCTGAGAAATGATCTGAAGCCCGGTAATTATCCTATGCCAATTAGGCTTAAGGGTGAGCAATTATTGCTATGCCTTTCCTGTCTTTTTTTTCACATTTTGACAGTCTGTTCTAGCATTCAACTGTTGTACTACCTTTGTTTTTACCCAGGGGGTATGCGCTTGATTAATACTTTTGAAGAGGAATTTGTCGAAGATACATGGAGCAAACTCAGTAAAAAGATTGCTTTAGATTTATCCCGAAGTGTTGTCTCACTTGCTTCATTCAAAGGTGATTGCATAAGATAATTTACTTTTCTGCATATGTTTGCTTTCTTATTACATCACTTAACTATGGAACAATGTTCTTTGTAGGAGAAGAAAGGGTTTTTGCTTGCACTGGTATATTTATAGACTTTGATGGATCCACCTCCACCTCAACAGTTCTGACTTCAGCAAGTTTGGTTAGAGCTTCTGCTGATGAATACAAGATAGCTGATGACTTAAAGGTTGGTACTGCAAACAATTATGTACTCCTTTTGTTTGTTCATTTGTGATACTGGTTAATTCTCACTCATTTGTAGCAGATTAAAGTGTACCTTCCAAATAAGCAACTTGTTTTTGGGACATTGGAACGTTGCAATTTGAGTTATAATATTGCTGTGGTGAGTGTCAAGGGTTTCCGTTGTCTTCGAACCGCAGAATTGCACAATCAGGTGCAAATTGAACCTCTTAAGGAGGTAGTAGCTGTAGGGCGTATCTTTGAATCAGGCAAATTAATGGCCACAAGTGGGATACTATCTGAGAAAGGAAGCAATCTCGACTGCAAAGAGCTTATGATCTCCACTTGTAAAGTGACAAAGGTACACTGTTGATTTCGTTATGGTGGAAAGAAATAGTTGCATCAGAATATGAACAATATTATTTATCACTTGAATCTGCATTTGCATGGTATTAACAATAATAAATATTCATCTGTTCATGTGTCAATTTGCTTTTGTGCTAGGCTGGTATTGGAGGCCCCCTGGTTGATTTTGGTGGGAATTTCATTGGCATGAACTTCTATGGTATGGAGGAAACACATTATCTACCAAGGTCTATGGTTCAGAAACTTTTTGAAAGGTATGCCTTTACTTATCTTTTTTCTAACAGTCGGCAAGTGTTATCCATGTGCATGTTCCCCTCTTCCAACGAAACTTTTGGTGGTAATTGCAAAGCATAGGGTCTGTTTGGTGATTCTATCTTGGTTTATAGTTACTTTGTGTTTAAAATTCTTGTGTATTTTTGTTTTAACCATATCAGCAATACAAATCTTGTTCGGGCATATCACAAAATGTCTTAACAGATTCTGCATTATATTTATCCTCTTCTCAAGGGGGCTGAAATCCCAGTACCAGTAACCTGAGCCAAGATTGTATAAGCCGCTCAAGTGGCCCCAGGCCTCTATTTATTATAATCTTGAGCTCACTTTTTGTTCTCTGTAGGTCTGATGTTGATGATGCAAGCTACGAGAAGCGATACAGGTATTCTTTGAAGCTTCTCGATATGATTTGCTTGCTTTGTTTCATAAAATAATTCATTGATTGACTATTAATACATTGTTCATTAACAGATGGCCTGTGCCCAAGCCACGTTGGTCCTATCCTTCTAGGGTACAGCCGTGGTCCAAAAGTCTCGTACACGATTGAAATGTGACCTTAATGCATCTGAGTCTCGGACCTCCTAATTTGAACTGTGAAAACTCTACCATGTGTGATAGGGTGGGGTAGAGATTTTCCTAGGTCTGTTTGCATTTTACATTTTATGTAAGTTAATGTAACTTTATCAGTTGAGCTGTACGCACGAACCGCTCAACCTGCCACGTCATGATTTATCTGGCCCAAAGGCCAAAGCAGAAACGGATGTTGAAATCTTGGTACAGTAGTTGGATTTTATCGGGATGATCTTGGTACAGTTTTGTGAAAATTATATCTGGCTCTTCAAGCGATGATCTATGGTCGAACCTATTGACTGAAATTTGGCTCGATTTTTGGCCTGAATTTAGAACAGCGAATGGTACACAACACAACCGAGTCAACACACTCCCAGGAAGTCGCCCTACAAAGTTACAAGCCCAACAACTGCAACGTCAATGCTGGAGTCAGCTGGGACGGCTTGACATCTAGATACTGACCCAACCCACTAACTTAGCCATACAACGGTTGGTGCCACACATAACAGACACAATGACACAAACACATGACAGCCAACCTGCAACGAGACACGTATCATTTTCCCCCAGAACAACTGTCGATCGTGGTCGTGGCCAGCTCTTGTAGTACGATACCACATCACGAGCAGGCAGGACCTGTCAGAATTTAAATCTGTGAGCATTTGTATCCTCCCCAAGAACCGAGTCTTTCGAAGGTAGTAGGGTGAAAAATAAAGGGCATCCTCTACCCCAAAACTAGACCTTCATGTGAGTGTGCTTGGGGGGGATGCAAGTCTCCTTAGCATGAACTGTATCGAAGCATTTTCCTAGCAGTACAAAAAGCAATGCAAATGTCAGTCCATAATCTGGAACACGAGTTGTTATATATATATGTAATCTTGTACTTATTATAAGATTTGTATCTCTTACATTGGGAGGTTGAAGCCACCCTCGTAGAGCAGCTATTATTGTGGGGATTGAAACAGCATACGTGAATCCGTGTGCATGCCTAACACATGCACTCCAACCAGCAAATGAGATCCTGAGAAAACGGGCGCACCTGATGCGCCAAGCCTAGCTACGTAGTTTGAGCGAACACATTCGTGTTCAGGTGTTTGAGCAGTCGGTGGTCCTCTGCGAAGGAGACACACGAGTAAGTCATACACGGTACATAATGCTAGCAAATAGTAACTATAGTCGTCGGTTAGTTTCTTACACTAGGCCTTGTTTAGATCACCTCCAAATTCCAAGTTTTTTCACTCTCTCTCCATCACATCAATTTTTGGACGCATGTATGGAGCATTAAATGTAGGTAAAAAAAAAACTAATTACACAGTTTGGTTGTAAATCATGAAATGGATCTTTTGAGCCTAGTTAGTCCATGATCGGACAAAGTTTGTCAAATACAAACGAAACGTGTTACAGTGTCCAGGTTATAAAATTTGTAATCTAATCAAGGCCCTATTTTGCCTTGGAACGTCCCTGGGCGCACAACGTGTGAACCATCCATTTTGAAAAAGGAAAGCATAACAACATCCATCCCCGGCACAGTGGGTCCATCAAAGAACAGCACAGGATTGCAGACATGCTGCGAATCTGCAATCTTCAGCAAGGAAAGATCCCTAACCACGTCAACATGGAGTAGCATGGCAGGTTCATTGCTTTTGTCGGAGAAGTACGCCGGCATGTAGGAGCCCAGGGCAACCCCACGCATGATGTGTGCACAGCTCATAATCAGAAGTGTGCCGCTCATGGAATATACAATGAAGCCATTGCCCGATGTTCCTGGAGGATGCAATCTTACCACAGAACGCCCAAATTTGTCAGATATGGTCTCGTCCAACCGAGACACCACACCACCCACCATTGTTTGTGGAGTATGAAAGTGCAGTTGTGGGAATGATGCTGACCAAGACAAGGAAAACAAACGAATCTTATTAGCATTACTATTTCTTATTTAACTTAACACTTAAGTTTCTAACTTAAACATGTCTTGTGACTAAAGATACTTATAAGCATGTGATACACATGAAAAATATGAGATATCGGCCCCGTTCACTGGTCTGAAACTTGGCTGAAAAACACTGTTCCGGCTGAATTGTTGTGAGAGAAAAATACTATTTAGCTGGTTTGATGAACAGTAACTGAGAGGGGGAGCAGCCGGCTGGCTGGTGAAACCAGACCAGCGAACTGCCCCATCATTTCGAGGCACCAGAAATGTACTGTATTTATGGCATAAACTAGTTAGGCATGAACACTATTTTCTAGGAAAATTTACATGCCTTGTGGCTAAACAAGACTGCATGTATGTGTACCATCTATTCCTATGGAACTCAAGGAATTTTGGTTTACGTTTTTAGCATGCACAGAAATATTTACTATGATTTATCTAAGTGCGCTGCCTATTTAAATGGATTTCCAGAAAACCTAGAAAACCACTTGGCAAACCAGCCCCTACACTTGTCTTAAATCAGGGAAGGCTAGATCTAAAAACCCTCCACTCTAGGCAAACTTTCATCTGGAACCAAACTCAACTCAAATCTAATTTCTATCCTCTTCTTCTACCTCCCGATGTGGAGCTCTGGGGAAAGCTCAGATGGCGCAGGGGGCGGCCAGCGCTGGCCGGCTAGGGCCAGCCGGCGGCGGGATGCGGCCGGGTGGGGCAGCGCCAGCCGCGGCGCGCTCAGGAGGGGGCCGGCCGGCCAGGGGGAACAGCGCGGCGCGGCGCACTGTGGAGAGGGGCGGAGGCGGAGCTTAACGCGGAGTAGTGGAGCTCGGCGAGAAGCAGCCAGCTTGGCGCCGTTGTTAGTGGCGCTAAGCTTGGCGCCACCAACGATGGCACCGAGCTATGCTGCATAAGAAACCTTCGTTGCCAAATATGCCAAAACCCCACCCCACGCATCACGATTCATTTGATCAGAGAAGCATGCATGCAACTCGATCGGTTTCATTCCACTAGTGATGGAGACATGGCATGTTCGTCACGGGTGCCGGGAGACCATTCAGAGCGGCAAAGACGATGCTACCAGAGGTAGTGCATGCCCGCTGCCTAGCCTGTTGCGGGGTTGATTGCGGCAGCCGAGGTAACGTCTCGGCGAAAGGTCATGGCGCCGACCTCTAAATTTAACCTAACACCCTAATTTTACCGTGAGATGGATATAAAGTCCCTAAATTTACCATAAGATGGGCGCCTTAGAATTTATCCCGGTCTTTAAATTTACCATGAGATGGACATGCAGAAATTTGTTAAGCCTGGATTTTTACCATGACTTGGACATTGTCAAATTTGATTTTTACCATGACTTGGATATTGAGAAATATGGCTCACTCTAGAGTTTTACACTGACTTGATATTTGAGCACTTAAAACAACATAGAAATACTTAGGATAAAAAATGATCTAGGTTCATGTTGATGAACGAGCCTAAAAATGTTTATAAGTGTTGGATCAATAGTTAACACCCTTTTTCACGATGCAGTTTTGACCACAGTAAAACTATAGTTTCTTTTCTAGATATAAAGTTTGACCTTTAATAGAAGTTGTAGTTTGAGTTGAGTACAACAAACTTTATTTTTGGACAGTTTTTAACATGGCCAAATAGTGACCACAAGTTTGAATACAATGCTATTTTGTAGCAGTGAATTAACATGTTTGCGATATTTTATCTTCCAAATTTGTATAGCAACTCAATTTAATACCTTACTATGAGTTTGAGTACTCTCTGAGGATATGACAACAAAACAAGTCTCGTCAAGTTTGAACTTAGCCACGATAAAAAATCAGACCATCTCGTGGTAAATATACATATGTCCATCTCATGGTAAAATCACATATTTAGACAGATTGTAACATATCCAAGTCACAATAAAATTCAATATGGCATTGCCATGGTAAAAATTCAAATTACATATCCATCTCATAATAAAAATGCAACCAAATTTGACATTATCATCTCATGGTAAAATTTTAGGGTGTCCAAGTCATGATAGTTTGTAGTTAGGATTGAAAAAAATCAGCTCATACTAGTACGGAATCTATCTCTACGGTGCACTTATAGGAGAAAGAAGGGAAATAAGGCTCGGACAGGAAGGTTGGGCGCGGGGTTAAAGCAGCCAGCTTGGCGCCGTTGTTAGGATGGCGTCGAGCTAAAGGTTAAGATTTTGAAATCATACCTCCAGAGGTATTTTTTGTGAGAAACTTTCGAAAAAAGAACTAAAAAAATAAAAAAATCGGTCGTCTCGGCGTGGGCGGGCGCAAGGCTGATGCCGGTGGCATGAGCTGCACAGCGAGGGAGCAGGGTTACACGGCTGGTCGGCGACGCAGCAGTGCCGCATTCAAGTCACCGCGGCATGCCGCTGCTGGCTCCTGCTGCTCCTTCAGGCTGTGTTTAGTTCGCGAAAAGAAAATTTTTGTGTGTCACATCGGATGTGTCGGAAAGATGTCGAGAGAGGTTTTCGGATACTAATAAAAAACAAATTACAGACCCGCCATAAAACTGCGAGACGAATCTAATGATAATAATTAACTCCGTCATTAGCACATGCGGGTTACTGTAGCACTTAAGGCTTTTCATGGACTAATTAAGCTTAAAAGATTCGTCTTGTGATTTCTCCAAAACTGTGCAATTAGTTTTTTTTCGTCTACGTTTAGTACTTCATGCATGTGTCCAAACATTCGATGTAATAGGTGGAGGCAAAAATTTTTGGGAACTAAAACAGGCCTTAGTTACTACCCTAAAACTTTTCATCCATCCCATCGAATGTTTGGACACATGTATGGAGTACTAAATGTAGATAAAAAAACTAATTACACAGTTTGGTTGAAAATCACGTGACGAATCTTTTAAGCCTAATTAGTCCATGATTAGCCTTAAGTGCTACAGTAACCAACATGTGCTAATGACAGATTAATTAGGCTTAATAAATTTATCTTGCAGTTTCCGGATGAGCTATATAATTAGTTTTTTTATTTATATCCAAAAACCCCTTCCGACATTCT